CTTTTCTCCATGACATGCTAATAACAAAACTACCCCTTAATTTTTAAGGTATAAGATTATTCCTTCCTTCAGAATGAATGTTAATGTTTTTGAAGCTGCAATGATTGGTATTCATTTTACATTCATTTGCAGGGCAGACCTCAGCATAAGAATCTTCTGTGTAATGATATATATGTTCCTTTTTGGGCAAAAATAATGACGAGATTGTTTGCATCATAAATCTCACCTTTAATAAATTGGGAAGAGTCACTTGTTCTGGAATACTCTATGTTTCCTACTAAGTTGCACAAGAAGAAGAGACTTGATCGAAGGGAGCTGAGATGCTTTTATTCAAGGTGTCCTGTAGAAAAAAACCAGAGGAAATAGAATAGAAGGGCAGCATCAAGTACAGGGAAAAATAAGTATGAGCTGCCCCTAGGGAAGCAGATGGAACATAGTGCACTATGAGAGGGAGCCGTCTAATCCTTGCTCCTCAACCACAACTCAGTTGATGATCATAAGTAGATGAGGCTCCTGCATCTGCTTTTCAACAACTCGATGTTAGAAGATGACAAAATATATCCTAGTTGGAGAACAGGAGTATCATAGAAGACAAGATGTTCGTTAAATCTTGAAAATTCCAATTTTTTTTCTTTCTCTAGCATATACATACACACCTTAAATTCAGATGCAAAACAAGTAAAGGCAAGCCTAAAGTCGTTGTATACCCAACATTTAGGCTTTATATGCTCTTATATGTTATCAGGCCTTTCTAAGGGCTGATCAGCAAGTTTTTTCACATTTGAAGAATACCAGTGCTGCAGAATCACATGCCTATGGGGATTTGGAGTTTCACTGACTTCACAAATTAAATCTAGACACACTGTAAATCCTATCATTTATGTGCGACAGATATTATTGATTTATACTCTCAGTGAATACCTAATCCTAATTAGTTTTTGTCATATAGTCATCTATAACCTACTTGAGGCCAAGTGTGAATTTGCAAGCAAAGGCCTGGAAATTAGCTGAGGTTGAAGGAGCATTAGAAATAGCTGACCTGAAATATAAAGAATTTAGATATGAGTTACTTATAATATGATCAGTTGTTTGTATGTATGTGTTTACAGTGCCACTTTGAGAATCTTTAGAAAAGCATTTTTAAATATATTGGGTATAAT